GAATGAAATGACTATGATAATATCATAGATAACGCTCATTTCTTGGTTGGCTACAATATGCTTGAGACACGCAACTATATATTTTGTGTGTGTGTCGTGTGTAGTTACTGTACCATTTCAAGTTTTGTGGAACCCTGTGTAGTGTTGTTACAATACCTCATATAATTATTTAATTATATAAGTTATTAAATAATGAGCATAGCTATTAATACTTAGTATATAATATTTATTGTAATAATACGTATATATAGTTGTACCAATGATGTAAATCATGTTATTATATATATGGTGTGATTTAGCTGTGAGTTTGCTATGTGTGAAGTGTGTGAGTGCTTTGTATTAAGTACCTATCTATATGTTATGATTAATGTATTTGTATGTAAAACTATGGTACCCAGACCCAAATATTTTAGCTCAATAAATGGCCAGTTATGTAATATTTAATAATATATAAGAGGAAATTGATATTTAGTATACTTATGGTTACTCCTAAATAAAAATAGATATATATATATTATAAATGTTTATGAACCTCTTCTCAAGTGTTATTTACCTGTATACATAATACATATTACATATTTATAATGATAAAAAAATTAACTATTATAAATATAGTTAAAATTGCATAATCTATGGCTTTTATAAATAAGTGATACTAATAATACTAATGGATAATATAGTATAATTATTCTCACTGTTATTTAATCTTAAAATATATTAATAATATTAAGGAGTATTATTTATTATAACTCAACACATATGTGATATATATGTATTATATATGTGTATATACAGATAGTTGAGCATCTATATATATATATAGAGAGAGAGAGGTAGTAGGAAGTAATTAACCGAGAGTATGAGAGATATCCAGATTGGGGGAGGAGAATTTCCGATGAGTGATTGGAGAGAGAGAGAGAGAGAGGAGAGAAGAAAGAAAGAAAGAGAGAGAGAGAGAGAGCAGAGGACATTGAAAGAGAGAGAGAGAGAATATGTATATATGTATATATATGTATACTTATATATATATATATATATATATATATATGTACACATATTCATATCATAGATAGATAGATAGATAGATTAGATAGCATTACACACACACACACACACACACAACACACACACACACACACACACACACACACACACACACACCACACACACATCATATAATATAAGTATATATATAGTAAGTCCGTACATATTAAGTGTATGCATTTGTATACAGTTATCATTTGAAGGGATGAAACTAATTTCAAAAAGTGCACCATTTTATCCGCTCATGTTAATAGCTTCTCGCCGTGACGTCTGACAGTCTGGGAAAATGGCGCCAATCTGTCTGCGGCGAAAAAAAAAGGAACATCGAGTAGCTTTCTTTTTTTTTTGTTTTATTGTCGTCTTCTTTATCTTTGTTTTAGTTTTGGATTTGGCGTAAAGGTTTTGGTGTGTGTGTTTTTGTTTTTCTTTGTTGTTTTTTACTTTTATTGGATTATTTGTCATTGATTTTGTCATTATTATTGATGTTATCATTAAGAGAATTGGTTTGATTATTATCAAATTTTTTATCATTATCATTGTTTTCTTGATTATCATTATCATTATCATTATTACTACTACTCTTATTGTTATTACTGCAATTATTGTTATCATTATTATTACTATTATCATTATCATTATTATTATCATCATAATCATTATATTATTATTATCATTACTATTATACCATATCAGTAGTGTTATTATTATGTTATTATTATTATTATTATTATATTTCATTATTATCATTATTATTATTATTATTTCCATCATTATTATTGTTTGGTTGTTGTGTTGTTGTTGTTTTGTTATTATTATTATCATTATCATTTTCAATATTGTTATTACTATTGCTATCATTGTAACTATCATTGTTCCTATTATTATCAATATCCTTTTTGTTATGTTTTGTTGTTCTTATCATTATTATCATTGTTATCGTTATCATTTTCATTTATTACTATTATTATTGTTTTTAATATTATTGTTGTTGTATTTTTATTGCTGCCATTTATCATTATCATTCCGTATTATTAGCATTATTATCACATTATTATTTCTTTATCATTATTAATGATTATTATTTATTACTATCATTATTACTATCATCATACCAATACTGTCGTTCTATTATCATTACCATTATTATCACATCATAATCATTCTTTGTCATTATCATTATTATTATCATTATTTTTTACTATTGTAACTATTATCATTATTGTTATTATCATCATCATTATTATTATTATTATTATTATTATTATTATTATTATCATTATTTTATTATTATATTATTATTATTATTATTATTATTATTATTATTATTATTATTATTATTATTATATTATTATTATTATTTATTGTTATTATTATCATTATTCATTATTATCATTATTTATCATTTTTTACCATTACTACTATCATCATAATAATCATCAATAGCATCATCATTATTATTTCATTATTATCATTATTACCATTACCCCAGCAAGGTCTACTAGCCACAATATTGAATTTAACGCAAGATGTATGTATGTATGTATGTATGTATATGTATGTTTGTAATGCATATAGATGGAATATATATTTGTGTATAGGAATATATAATAGATACATATACAACATACATTTAATATATATACATATATAAATACATATCCATATAGAGGTATATTATAATATTATACTATATAATAAATATATATATATATATATATATATAATATATTATATATATATATATATATATAATATATATATATATATATTATTATATATACACACACAAGTATATATATGCATATATCCTATATATGGATTGTATATATAATTATATATAATATATATATATATATATATATATGTGTGTGTGTGTGGTGTGTGTGTGTGTGTGTGTGTGTGTGTGTGTGTGTGTGTGTGTGTATATATTATATATATATATATATATATATTGTGCGTGTGTGTGTGTGTGTGTGTGTGTGTATGTGGTGTGTGTATGTGTGGTGTGTGTGTGTGTGTGTGTGTGTGTGTGTGTGTGTGTGGTGTGTGTGTGTGTGTGTGTGTGTGTGTGTGTGTGTGTGTGTGTCTACATTCATACCTAAATACATATCTATATTCCTATATAGGTGTATGGTGTGTGTGTGTGTTTGTGTATGTTATGTATGTATGTATGTATGTATGTATTTATGTATATATTATATATACATATACATATATATTATATTATATACATATATATATACATATATATATATATATATATATACTATATATATATACTATACATATATATCATATAATAATATATATATATATATATATATTATACATATATATATATATGCGCAGGCTTATAATTCAAAATAAAACTAGTTTACGTCCGTCTTCCTACTTTGAGAGATTTTAAGCTCGTGGCCCTCAAGGTTTTGTTTACGTCTGCGATTCCTCTTCTCCATCCTCGTCCTCAGCGCGAGACCAGGGAACGTTTTCAAAACCCATTTTACAGCTGATCTGCCATGCTTTCTGATAGCGCCAATGTAATCTTTGATGCGAATGATAAGGTAGGATTATAACGAGAAAGATATAAGACGTGTTTTACGTTTCGCGAGTTTTGTGTGAAATTGGTGTGTTTTCCTCGGCTGAAATCAGAAAGGTACGCTGGTACGCTTTGTTTTTTTTTTTTTATAGTAGTATCAGTACGTGTCATAAGTTGACATTACATCTAAAAGTAGTTAAAGAGAAGGCAACATGTCATTTGAAATCCTTGTTGCTCAATTAAGCGCTGTTGCATTCTGAAAGGTATATTTACGATAAATTAAGAATTCCATAGATTTTCATAAAATGAGGTGAATAGATGTGGCAGTCCAATAGGTGTTAGAGCAAAAATCGAAAACTGTTTGGCCTTGATAATTATCACATTGGAAAAATTAGTAGTTGTTATGATAATGACAAGGCCTATGACCGAGATAAAGTCCCATGACTGTCATGGTCCTGCAGTTGGCATGACCTCAGTGCTGTGGCAAAGACCAACCAACCATTTATGTTTGATAAAATAGAGCTTTAACTGGTTCCATGTTTGGTGGTAAAACTTTAACACCAGATTGGAAAGTTTGTAAACTGCACGGCCAATGATAAATTCCTTTCTTAACAATGCGCATCTGGAAGATATCAGTGCGCAGGTATAAATATTAACTTTTCAACCTGGACATTTCACTTTGCATTCCCATAAAGTCTCATCGGTAATTTTCACACTTAAAACATGTCATATTTGTCATGATTCATCATTATCTTTACTGCTGCACAGTACAAACTTTCAGAATGTAGATGATAAATAATTGTTGCCCTTGTTGTCAGAGTGCTGCGGGCATGTAGGCTACAGCAACCACTTGATACGCTGTATGTAACAGCAACCACATGATACGCTGGATTTAACTTTGATAAGCGGTTTGGCTGAATTTTGAGCTGTACAAACTTTTAAAATGCAAATGAAAGCTGCCATGAAAAGTTGTCATATAAAGTTTTTTTTTTTTTTTGTCTTACTTGGAATTACCATCTTTCCTACTGTGCCTATTACGGACAGTCAACCTTTCAAAATTTAGATATCTGCATGTTGTATTAGAGTAGTTATAAACAGGTATCATGAGCTTTTGAGTTTCTCCCCTTACTTTTCTCTACGTAAAAAGCCCTGGGATAAAGAAATATATAAATATATGTTTTTATGTTTGAAAGGCAAATTGTCTAGACGGTATAAATATTGGTGATTTTTCCACAGGATAAAAAGGTAGTAGTGCATCCGTCAATATCAAGACTATCCAATCGCTGATTTATATATGTCTTATCCCTTTATCAGGCAAATGACCATAATGATCCCTTAAATACATGTATATAATATGTGGGTAAAATGTTGCCTTTTTAAAAAAGGTTATTACATACGATTTTTACCACAGGTACCATGAAGGGATGATGACACACTACTGATCCAGCAGTATGACGAAGCAATGGCTCAGGTGCAGCGGCAGTTGCACAAACGTATGTCACAGAACAACACCACAGAGAGTGAACAGTCAGAGGCCCCACAGTCAGAGAGGATCATCAGAACCGTTCCTCAGCAGTATCCAAAGAAGAAGAAGAAGAAGAAGAATAAAAAGAGAACTGAGGTAAATATCTGTGTATTGGGGTTCTTTCCCTTTCTTTTTTTTTCTCTCTTTTTTTCTCTCTTTCATTCCTCTCTTTCAGTCTCTTTCTCTTCTCTCTTTCTCTCTCTCTCTCTCATCTCTCTTTTCTCTCTTCTGTCTCTGTCTCTTCTCTCTCTCTCTGTCTCTGGTCTCTCTGTCTCTGTCTCTCTCTTTCTCTCTGTCTCTGTCTCTCTTCTCCTCTTGTCTCTGTCTCTCTTTCTCTGTCTCTGTCTCTCTCCTCTCTCTCTCTGTCTCCCTCTCTCTCCTCTCTCTCTCTCCTCTCTTCTCCCTCTCTCTTCCCTCTCTCTCTCTCTCTCTCCTCTCTCTCTCTCTCTCTCTCTCTCTTCCTCTCTCTCCCCCTCTCTCTCCCTCTCTCTCTCCCCCTCTCTCTCTCCCCTCTCTCCCTCTCTCTCCCCCCTTCTCTCTTCTCCCCTCTCTCCTCTCTCCCCTCCTCTCCTCTCTCCCCCCTCTCTCTCCTCTCCCTCTCTCTCTCCCCCCTCTCTCTCTCCCCCCCTCTCTCCCCCCCCTCTCTCTCTCTCCTCCCCTCTCTCTCTCCTCCTCTCTCTCCTCTCTCTCTCTCCCCCTCTCTCTCTCTCTCCTCTCTCCTCTCTCTCTTCCTCTCTCTCTCTCTCTCTCTCTCTCTCTCTCTCTCTCTCTCTCTCTCTCTCTCCTCCCTCCCTCCTCCTTCCCTCCCTCCCTCTCCTCCTCCTTTTCCCTCTCCCTCTCCTTCCCTCTCCCTCTCTCCCTTTTTAACTTTACTTTTATGTGCTTTTTGTTTTACATTACTTGAACATCCTTTTTTTTTTTTTTGCCAAGGATTGATGTATAGGCAACTCAGAATGATCTGGAATTTTTTGGAGGGGAAAGAAAAAAAAAAAAAAGAATATAATAACATTAGAGCTGTACATATATTGTATGGTGCTTTCTATGTGAACAAGCAGCATTTAGTTACAGAAAATATACTTTAATGTCCTAAGAACAGTAAAATTCACATTAACAATTTTACTTCAGTGGCACACAGGTGATCCCTGCCGTGCACGATATTCAGAGGATAATTTCATCTATGAAGCAACAATTATAGGGATGAACACAAAACAAGGAACCTGTGTTGTGCGATATGTTGGCTACAACAATGAAGAGGAGGTTCCGTTAAACAAACTACAGAAGTCTAGAGGAGTGTCAGTCCGCAAACAACAGGAAGAAGATGCTGACGTTGATAACTCGGAGGTAGGGAGGCCTGGAACGGTTATATTCAGAAAATTTGTAATATGCATTTTTGTCTACTGTTTTCTAAAGATTATGATAAAGGATATAGTTTGTTTAAAATCAACACTGTTTTGGAGTTGGAGGAAAAAAAGGAATTGCAAAAATATTTCAAGAATTGATTACTTTAAACCAATGAAAAATAAATTGAATCATATCTGGTTAGATACTCCCTCCTCTTTTGTTCTTGTAAAATCATTCCATACTCAGAAATTATCTTTAAATCATATACTTCCAGGCAAGCAGTTCTGTGGCTGAGAGTGATATTCAAACTGATACCGATTGTGAACGGTCCAGTAAGAGGCAAAAACCCCGTCATAGACAGTATTCTCATTCAGATATGGTAAAATTTCATTGGCTTCTTGTCTTGGTAACACATTAATAGATATTCCTTTATTCAATTGTTGTTCATGCCCTTGTATGATACAATTGTGCATGTTTGCAGGTTTGCTTATGGGTGAGGTGGTGTTCGCCCTCCCTCCATAGTCATCTTTAATTCAGTTACCGTCAGTTTCAGAGCCTGATCTTTGTGTTTTAATGCCACTATAAGAAACTTTATTTTTATCTTAGTAACTTAGTTTTCACTCCAATAACAGATGCCTCCCCCAAAGCTCCCAACAAGCGGACCAAGTTTTGTACCTCCGGTAAGTATCAAAATACCAGACTGTGTATGATGACGAACTTTATGTGCAATAATAGCTACAGGTTTTTGTTTTCATTATCTTAATGAAATTAATGCTGTTCTTGGATCTTATTATATGATTGCTACATACTTTTCTTTTCAACACTACTGACATTCCGTTCATGGATCTTAAAGTATGCAATTCCTCCACCATTTAGCCACATCTGCCGCACCTGCCACCGCCTCCTGCCCTAGCCATGGACCTTCACAGCAACCCCAGCACCTCGGAAGCCCTCCACACAATGCTCATGAGTTGGTACATGGCTGGGTATCACACCGGCTACTACCAGGGGCTGAAGCAGTCCAACTCTCACAGAGAACACATGTGCTGAAACCTTGTTACATGTACAAGTGATTCGTGCTTTCTTTTTTAATTTTTTTATGAGGTATATTTTATTTTAAATTGTTCTTAATTTGTTTATATTATTGGAAAACGTTCTTAGTTGTTTATTTCATTGGAAAATGTTATTATTTGTTTCTTTTTTTCATTATAAATTCAAATAAAATTGCAACTATTGCTAATATTTTTCAGAAGGTCCGTGATACCACTGTGATTCATTTCATGTACTATCTCTATTTTACAGAAGGTTGAAGATTAATTTGAGTAGTGAGTATTCATTATTTGCAACAAATGAAATATGCAGCATGTTGATGTTTGAATAACTGCATTGATGCACAATATTTTCTATACATAAAAAACCTAGCAGTGAAAGTACTTTCATTATCCTGATTTTACAATACTGTGTATAACCATTATATATAGTATAGCAATGCAAGAGTTCTGAGGGAAATGAAACATTATATTTTGTGATAATTATAACTAATCTATGTTTCCAAAGTAATTTAGCCTTCCAGTACTATATAATTTTAATCTTATTTACTTATCAAACTGGTACGTGAGTTTCTTCATACTAATTGCTGAATTATTTAAGTTTTATTGAGATTGCGGTAATGTTCAGGCCGCAAAACAAATACTGTCTGACTGAAGATTCTTCAGGATAATCATGGGTATATACATCAGAGACAAGTACACAACACAGTAGTAACAATAAGTCAAAGGAAAAATGTCCTCTTTGTTGTGTATGATATATGTTTCATCACTTTGGCAAAGACGATCAAAATCTTGATTCCACATTTCATGGCAGAATTTTTAGGTGCTTTACAAGCTCTTATCTTGCCAGAATATTGACAGTAGAAGGGTGCAAGTCTTTTGCCTGAATACCAAAGGCATGGGAGTCCACAGCAAGCACTCGAGTCAATGCAAGCATATCTTTGATGAGAGGTTATGGGCTTACCTTCACTTTCTGCTAAGAGTTTTTGATAGCTAATAGTCTTATTTGAAGTAATCTGTAAGGGTATCACTTTATTTTTTCTTTATCTCTACATCACTGGTTCCCAACCTTTTCTATTCTGTGGCCGTCAACCAATATATAATAATCTCATTGGCCATTTTCAATGTCTGTCAACTTTTCAGTCATTAATGCTAGTTATGAATAATGTAATGGTGTCAATAGCTGTAGGACAAGAACACAACATGGAACATTCCAATTTATTGATATATGGGTGATAATTCTCTGTAGGTACTATAAGTGACATAAAATCCAGTTTAATTCTAAGTTGTAATTTTCATACTGCTCCATGACCCCCAGAAAGTATCCCATGGCCCATGGGTTGGGAACCAGAGCTCTATATGAACCATTTACAGATTTACCAGTACTAAAATTAAGGCAAAAAAAATCATCCTGAAATAAGGGTTGTTGATGTTTCCCTTAAAAATGACATGAAGTGACAGAAACAAAATGAAATCAAATGAATAGGTAGAAAAATCAATGAAACTTATACAGTAGGGTCTCTTGGTTGGCATCTTGTAGAAACTGTCAAGATTAACCATGATCAATAATACTGAGTATTTGAGATGGAGACTAACGACCTCACTCAAATTTATTTGTTGTACTAACCAGATAAAGCAATTACAGTTGCTCACTCATTCACCCTAATACTGCCACACCATCCTTGCTTTCTCTTTGTAATTGTTGTAAGGCTATATTTCATTGACCAGGGATGTGGGTAGATTATACAAAAAAAAATCTCAAATTAAGATCCCTTATCTTCCTTTTTTATATAATTAATATATTAAATTTATATGTGTGGGAAGGAAGGTTCATAAAGGGTTTTAAAATATGACTAATAATTTTCTTAATATCTACCTTTCATTTTTCAGAAGCATGTGTATTATACATGTCAAGTGTTATTTGAGTAAGAATTGCAAAATATATTTTTTTATGATGTATGTCTGCATAAAGTAAAACTGTGTGGAAGTTCACATCAGAGGTTTTAAACAATTATACAGAATTGTTGAATGTGTTTGATTTTAGCATATTATTAACTTCTAGATCTAATTTGTAAATCTAAACCAGCTTACTCCTAGTTCATAAGTACAACAGCTTAATCATACTCTTCTATAAAGGTACACATTTACAGATAATTCATTTATATGACAAAATAAGTTGAATATTAAGATTTATTCCTATTTCATTTTGTAAAACACTCAAAGTTTGTTATCTTTGCATTCTTCAAGAAGTTGCTATGATTAAAGTGCACTAAATAAAGTGTATGCAATACCACTAAAGTTAAACAGGAAAATTTCTGTAAGGCTTAAGATATTTTCTTGAAATTTGTAATTATCAAAGATATCCTGTACTGTTAAAAAGTCCTCTACAAGTGTTATAAAGGAAACAGGTAGTAAAAGATATCTTATTTAAAACTACGCAAAAGATTACATAATTATACAACTTGCACTTGACAAACAAAAGCTGTGCTCCCTGACTTGTCTTAGCTACACCATCACCAGCGAATATTTTAAGGCTTTCATCTGTGTTACAATGTTTAGGCAGGACATGTACTACATTCCTACAGCAAAGTTCTGAAAAGTGTGGTCACTCAGTGAAATATCCAGATAATATACTCGGAAACAGTCATTTACATGTGCTTTAGAAGAACTCTCCACTCAAAACTTGACTGAGGCCTTTCCATTTTACTAACAGTAAGGCAACATGGTGTTACAGAGGCAAAGAAACTTTTCAATTGTACCATGTTTCTGTAGCCGTAAAATCAGTGCTGCCTCTTCCACTAATGTGTTTATGGTTATGGTTTCATATATAAGCTAGAATGGCCAAGAGTAGCAAAAATGGAGCACATGAGAGCAATTAAGAAGGGGAACATGATCTGGGAAGCAACATTCACCTTCTGTGCCACAATTAAACCCTTGGTGTCACATTGCACATGTGGAGACCATGCGACTTGGATGGAACTATGCTTGACAGATTTGTTCACTGAGGGAGTTCTCATTCCACAGAGGTTTTCAATGATAGTGTGAATAACAACAACCAAGAAGTCTAGGACAATTAGAGACATGAACCAGCCATCAATCAATTTGAAATAAGCAGTCTTGGGAATGGACTGGTTCATCTGGGTGAAGAGGGTAGCCAGTACCAGCATCGACGTCAGGGAAATCACGATGCGGTTCTGTGAAGTCGAGGGAAGTCACTGAGTTGTCATACATGTTGTGTAATAAGAAAATATTAACTTACAGGTAAATTCTTTACTCTGAAGCAGTGTGGAAAATTTTCCATTTTTGTGAGCTGATATCAGCAAAACAATCAATCCATATCATTGTCTAGTAAAAAAAAAAAAATAAAAAAAAAAAGAAAAAGTAAATTTCAAATCCTGATAAAAAGACAAGTATTTATCATAACAGACGTAATCTTTGTTAGAATATCCTTTGACAACTATCTATGATAAGAAAAAAAAGAAGTTTATTTTAGCAACTTGTAAAAACTTATATACATTATGTCACCTGAAAGTCGTTGAGCCGGAAGAAAAATGTGAGATAACAGATGATGGCCATAAGGAGGGTAGGCACTATGACATTGGTGATATAGAAAGTGTACTGGTTCTGAAACTCAATCTCCACCTGCAAAACATAACTATTAGTTTCCTTGATCTGGAATTGCAACTTGTAGGGTTCCAATTTAAAAAATGGTGTATGGACATTTTTTTGCTTTTGTATTTGCAACTGATACTTGAATAGAGCATAAACAAAAATTATCTTGGCACAATACCTGGAGACTCGACATAAACTGGGTGGTTACGCCAACAGCCATGGTCTCATTTACAATCTCGTATTCCAGTAGTTCCCTTGTAGCCTCCATGAAGATTTCACCCTATTCATAAAGTATGAGGTAATTGGATCCTTCCAGAAGTACTTTTCCTCTGCTATCTAACCTATCGTGTATGGTTATATGCAGTTTTTGGAATAGGTTGATCAAATTTATGAGGATATGTATGTTTCTTGTAGACATTTCTCGTTAGTTCTAATTTATAATTACTACTTTTCGTCATGTATTTTCATATATTATCTTTGATGTCTGGCACATTTATCTCCTTGTCATTATTACTTACTTTTCATATATTATAACAAGAAAACCAGAGATACTACAAGTTTTTAAGGTCGAGTTACAAGCATGCCAGGTTAAAGAGACAGAGTGTGTGAAAGTGTGTAAGAGGCACCAAGAAAGAATGTGTGAAAGTGTGTAAGAGGCACCAAGAAAGAATGTGTAAGTATGTAAGTGTTTAAGAAAGTGTGTGTAAGTAGTAAGTGTGTTTAAGAAAGTGTGTGTAAGTATGTAAGTGTTTAAGAAAGTGTGTAAGTATGTAAGTTTAAGAAAGTGTGTGTAAGTATGTAAGTGTTTAAGAAAGTGTGTGTAAGTATGTAAGTGTGTAAGAGGCACCAATCATATCACTTCTCACCTTCTGTAGAACACTTATTTCAGGGTTATCATAATAGTTGAATCCCAGTCGACATTTCTGTTTGTCAAAGGGATAGTTATGTAGTCGGAATATGCACATGGCCTCTATTCTCACAACATAAATGAGAAGTAGAGTATTTTCACTGCCTTTGTAGAGAACATCTGAAAAATAAGTGTTAAGTTGATTAATTGGTTCTATGCTGTATGTGTTAGTATTGTGTGTAGTGAAGAGACATATGACTGAAATTTATATATTACTTGTTATCTTCCATTTTTATTTCCATACTTGATATACTAGTCTGTTGCTATCTCCTGTCCCATCAGTAAATTGTCTATAGTCTGTAATTTTTATACTTCAGTCTTCAATCTTGCATTTCTTCAATCCAACGTGTGTGTGTGTGTGTGTGTGTGTGTGTGTGGTGTGTGTGTGTGTGTGTGTGTGTGTGTGTGTGTGTGTGTGTGTGTGTGTGTGTGTGTGTGTGTGTGTGTGTGTGTGTGTGTGTGTGTGTGTGTGTGTGTGTGTGTGTTGTATTAAGACTCTTTTTGGGATTTCTTGATTTTGTGTTTATTTTTTGGCCAAATATCTTTATGACGATGCAGGGGTTATGTTTTTTTTTTTCTTAATTTTGTATCCTTTTTTTGTTGGCTTTGTGTACTGCAATTCTATCTTTGATGTATTTTTGCCAATCATTTTATATTTTTCATATTGATTTCTAATCTTTTACTTCTCTTTCTATACTCTTCTCTCTCTCTCTCTCTCTTCTCTCTCTCTCTCTCTCTCTCTCTCTCTCTTCTCTCTCTCTCTCTCTCTCTCTCTCTCTCCTCTCTCTCTCTCTCTCTCTCTCTCTCTCTCTCTCTCTCTCTCTCTCTCTCTCTCTCTCTCTCTCTCTTTCTCTCTCTCTCTCTTCTTTTCTCTCTTTCTCCTCTCTCTCTCTCTCTCTCTCTCTCTCTCTCTCTCTCTCTCTCTCTCTCTCTCTCTCTCTCTCTGCTTTCTCTTTCTTTCTTTCTCTCTCTCTTCTTTCTCTCTTTCTCTCTTTCTCTTCTTTCTTTCTTTCTTTCTTTCTCTCTCTCTCTCTCTCTCTCTCTCTCTCTCTCTCTCTCTCTCTCTCTCTCTCTCTCTCTCTCTCTCTCTTTCATTCTTTCTCTCTTCTTCTCTCTGTCTGTCATTTTCTCTTTTTTTCTCTCACTAACTTCATTCTCTCTCTCTCTCTCTCTCTCTATAATATTATATATATATATATATATATATATATATACATATACATATATTACTCTCACTCACTCTCACCTATTTTCTCACCCTTCCATGCTCTTCCTCTTTCCCTTTATATATCGTCTCTATCTATCCATCCCTCTTTCTCTGCTTCTTTATCACCAGCCTGGTATCGACTTGATACTTGATGAACCAAATAAATGCTTGAATACTGAGTACCACAGCCCCTCTGTTTATCAATAAATCATTTTACTATAGCGATCGTAAAGTGGATGTGATTATCAAAAGAAAAAAAAATAGCTTACACGATAGCTTATTTGATTAAAGTTCTAGAAATATGAACACCATTAACAATACCTTAGAAGAGATCGATTTGTTAATATAGAAAGTAAGAAAAAAATACGCATCTATTCATCAACAAGAGGGACGTAATATCGATTCTTTCCGCAATTACACATTTCTGTTTCTTTCATATACTGAGCAAGTGGTACTGATCGCCTGTCAGTATCCATTAATATAAAAAAATGAGTGAGATCCCCTATTGTAGGTTAAATGCATCAAAGCCATTGGGGCTACATGTAACCCTTTTTTTTATTCTTTCTTTTTTCCTTTCATTTTTTTTTCTTTGTGTGTATTATCTTTTGTTATCCCATGAATGTTATTATTCTTTATTTCTTTATTTATCGTTATCATCCCTGGTTATATGCTAATTGTCATGTTTGTTATTTGGGGATATAATTATCTCTATGGATATCCTTCTTTGTGTGTATTATCTTTTGTTATCCCATGAATGTTTT